CGTACAGGAAATGCGAAGTGATTACTGTTAAAGGAGGGTCCTCAATTATTAAATCTAAAGTTTCATATACTGTACTTCACATTCAGTTAATATTTGCTCAGTAGGTTTAGTGAAGACAGGTCACAGTGCATTGCTTGGGTGGTGTTTGTTCAACCCTAATCTGTTTTTTTTAATAGAACTTGGATGAAGTTCAAATCACACTATAGGCTACAGTTCTGCAATATTATAGGGTAGGGAGAAGAGGAAGAAATGTTTGTTAGCAGTGCTAACTAGAGATCTAGATGGCATTCTCACTCCTAAACTTCAGAAAGGCTATCAAAATCTTGTTCAGAAGGATATTTGGAGACTGAGACACAGTCTTTGGGTTCTTAAAACTATTAGTTTTAATAACAATGTTAGCTTTGTAGTTAATTTTTTTCTGTCTTTTTTATACTGTATTTTATGGATTTGTATTTCGTTTTCTGATTTTAATTATATACCATCATGTGTCCTTATGGTATGAAAGTATAAAGTAGAAAAAAATAATAAAACATCTCTTTTCAGTTGCAGTCATCCATTGCAATCTATTAAACATGGGTTGGGAAATATATTTATTGTAATAAGTCTTAAGGAACAATTATTTCAAGAGGGGGTACAAAAGTTTCCACATTTGAAATGTTTGAGTACTCAAACTACTCTCGTATGGGCCATAACAACTGTTTTCAATTTAAAACAACCTGTTCTGATGTGTCAGGAAACAATGTCATTCAAACTTTACTGGTGCTCTGATTTTTAATGATACAAAACAACATGGGAACATTGTCAGTTTAGATCAGGGGTGTCAAACTGCGGCCCGTGGGCCGGACACATCACGAGGAAACTGTGCTCACCCATTGCCGGCAATGGGGAAAAAGTTCCGATACGTCGCGTGATGTCGCAAGTTTGACATGTCTGGTTTAGATTGTTTCACACACTTCTAGTAATAGTCTTAAAATACATGAATAAAAAATTCCAAGCATCTTAGAATTTTTCATCTAGATGTTAGCATTTGAGATTTTTGTTGGAATTCCTACATTTTGGGGGTGGGTGGGTACATAATTTGAAGGCTTTTAACTTTTTGAAATTAAATTCTGTGAAAAATTAATTGCTGTTACATTTATCTAAATGCATGCAATTATATAAATTAGTAAACATAGAAATGATGGAAAATAAGTTTTGAAGTAATTACGGATGACAGAATATTCATATATTTTATCCAATAGTTGACCTTGGGCCAGTCAATCTCTCTCAACCCAATTCACTTTACAGGGTGGTTGTGGAGAAAATAGAAGGAAGAGGTGTGCTGGATATATTTGCCGATATGTTTGAGTTATTTGCATAAATATTAAAAGGCAGGATAAAAAAACTAAAAGGTTTGTTGTAGCTTTAAAATATTCTACCATTATAAAATTATTTAAGTAGCAATTAACAATAAAATACAAAATAATATAAAGGTAGTCCTTGATTTATAACCGTAATGAAGCCTGCCCATGATTGTCATAAGTCTTGATAAAACAGGTTGGTTGTGTAACTGATCCAATTTTATGACATTCTTTTCAATAGTTGTTAAGCAAATATCTGCTCATTAATATTTGCTCATACTTGCTATGTGTGCAATTTTGCTGTAAATTGGAAGTAATTGATGGTTTTTAGCAAAACTGTCATAATATGTGATCATGTGAACATAGGACATTACAAGCGGTAGTAAATATGGCCCAGTTGCCTAGCTCCTGAAGTTTGATTGTGTGACAAGGGGATGGGGTAACTGTCAAAACTTCATAATAGCTCTCACATAAGTCCATCGTAAATTTGAATACTGGCTAAGCGACTATCTGTAGGTCAAGAACTGGCAATTGTGTTGAATGCTGGAATGCATGTAGGCTAGTTAAGCAGATGTGTTGCTATCTGTTACTTCAGTTTTATGATGCGAGAGCAACAGTTTGTTTTAAAGAATGGAAGGAGAAAATATATTGGTGCTGTACAGTGAAACATTTGCCGCAATCTAGTGCTATAATGTATCTGATTACAGTATTGTTTAGGTCAACAAATAAGAAAAAGTAATCTAAAGTGTGCTAATTCTAATTAGCCTGTGAAAAATTCTTGAGAATATACTTGTGCAGAAAGAATAAAAATCCTCTTAAGGTTCGCAAAATTTTCTTTTTTTCCTTTTTAATTTTTTTTATTAAGTTTGTCAAAGGATACAATGCAAAAAAAGGGGTTAGGGGAAAAGGGTTAAAGAAAAAACAAAATCAGGACTACAAAAAGAAAGAAAAAGTGAAAAGGGGGAAAAGAGTAACTTTCAGCTTTCTTCCATACAGATACAGATATAAAATACTCTAAAATCAACAATAATACACAGTAAACAGTTCTAATTATCAAGTCCCAAAATTAAAAATTCATTTATTTTAGGTTCTAGCAAGAAGTCCAACAGTAGTTTCGAAGTTGGACAAGGCCTATTATTTAATCACAGTATATCCTGGAGTTAATAACTATTTGTTTAGTGGCTGTTCGAAGTTACAGTGGCATTAAAAAAAGTGGCTTATGACTTTTTCACCTTACAACCATTGCAGCATTCCAGTATTTATATGATCAAAATTTGGATACAAGTGGCATGTATTTATGACTATTGCAGTGTCCCAGGGTGGTGTGATCAACTTTTGTGATCTCTGACATGCAAAGTCAGTGGGGAGGCCAGATTCACTTAGCAGTGGTGTTACTAACTTAACAGCTGCAATGAATCACCTAACAACCGTGGCAAGAAAGATCATAAAATGGAGCTAAACTCATTTAAAATTGCCTTGCTTAGCAATTGAAATTTTGAGCTCAGTTGTGATAGTAAGTTGAGGACTTCCTATAGTCAGTTTTTCTTTTTTTGCTAGTTGATTAGCTTCACAAACCATTTTTCCATTGTAGAAATTTGTAAATCCTTCCCTCGCTGTGCATACAGATGTCTTGCTGCTGTTTTTCATAAAGTTTTGGGTTTTTTTTTCAACCTGTTTATCAGACCAAAATGGAAAAGCTTTGATTTTAGTTATCAGGTATTATGTCACAGGTACATCATTTTATAAACGTTCTGTTTCAAATTATAATTCAATGTAATTCAAATTATTATTCAAGGTACATTTCAGTCCTTTACTCCACATATTCTTCCATTGATCAAGATTATATACATATTTTTGCTCACTTGATCATACAGTCTTTGACATACTCATCTTCAGTTCTCATTTTCAGTGAAAACTTATACATCTTAGCAATAATATGTTCATCATTAGTACACAAATTCAACTCAAAGTCAGTTTATTCATTTGTAAAATCAGAACTCTCATCCAGTTTAAATCTTTCTGTCACCTGAACATAAGCAAACCACTGACAAATATGGCCTTTAGTTTCCAATTATCCTGTTTTTAAGTTTAGGTTCTCCTTTGAAAAAAGTCAATAAATCAGCATAGGTCAACCAAGATTGCAGAATTCCTTTGATATGTACAGCATTCAAAAGCTCTTATAAAAAGCAGTTAAACTTATATAGCATCCGCATCTAGGTCAAAAATATGTTAATATCGTAATGTATTACAACCTGAAAAATCCTTCTGTAAGATGCCAGTATATCTGAAATCTAGCTAATGTTCACATAGTAAGGATTTGACAGAATCCGATTAGCTGATACCACTGTAACATGAAAAATTCTACACAAAGAATACTTCTTTCTTGAAGTTTGACTTTAGTTGAAAAGATTGAGGAAGATGAATCTGAAAATTGGGCAGAAAAACCTTTGAGGAAATATGAATGAGACAGCAGCCCACATCTATTCATTCATTTATTCATCTTATATCTCACATGGTGATTCTAGATGGCTCATATTAATCTTTCCTCCTACCAAATTGTAATAAAAGAACAACTACAAGGTGTCAGACCAGCCTGCTGTCAACCTCCTGGCTCATCCCCCAATGTCAGTCTTCCAAGATAGACCAAACTTGGAAACAAAAGACGCAAATTAATACTACTTTTATTATAAGTTTATGGTAACAGAATGTTGCAAGTCTAAATGCATTTCTTCCCTTCCTTTATTTTCTTTATTTTCATAGAATTAGGGAGGGTCATGTGTGATACACTTAGCTCTGACTATTATCTTAATCATGGCTCTTCCTTCTTTTTTCAAGGTTATTCCTTCTTCCCTTAGGAGAAGAGTCATGTCTTATCACATTTAGGAACTGCCTATCTCCCTCACAGAAGGATTTTGAGCATTGTACAAGTAAAATGTTAAAAACAAAAAAACAAAATACAAAATTTAAAGTACCGTAGAGGCATGGATAGTTAAAACTGACACTAAAAATTAATTAAAAGGCAGGGGAAGGGCTATTGTGCTCCTCTGTGAGTCCCAAGTGAGGTGACAGAGCCAACAGATATTTTCAAAAGGAAAAGAGAGTAAGGGCCTGCCTTTCTCTGGGGGGAGAATATTCCAAAGGGTGGGGCAACAGCAGAGAAGGCTCTCTTCCTGGACCCTGCCAGGTGGAATGCTTTAATTGAATGGCTCCACAACATGCCTTCCCTACCTGACTGGGTGAGAGGAGCTAATGTGAAAGGTTAAAGGGTCCGGGGTCCCCCAAATGTCAATTGAGGGTCTATTCCACAGGGCTGAGGGAGCCACAGAAAAGGTGCACCTCTGAAATCCCATTGCAAATGCCCATCTAAATACATCAGCATGATTCATTTTTACTATTTTTCTTGTTTTTTTTCCTTTTTAGAGATTAAACAGTCCATGTGTAATGGAAATAATGTAAATGCGTAGCAATGTTCACTTAAGAAAGGTAGGGTAATACTTGATTAATTTTGTCTTCTAAGTTTTTACATAATTTCTTGTGCTTTCTCCTTTTAAATAGAAAGATATGGAAAATGACTCTTATTTTCTGATGTAAGACATTTTCATTTAATTCTGTTAAACTTGATTACAATTTTTAATTGTAAAAGTTTTATCTTATTTGCAGAGCAAACTTGATGATTATCAAGATCGAATGAACAGAGGAGAACGCCTTAACCAAGATCAGCTGGTAAATATTTTGATAATTTCTTGTAATTTTGTAAATTTTTTAAAAACTTTAGATCATATTCTCTCATTTTATTTTAGCTGCTGCAGTCTTGTGAAAAATTGGCCCTTACAATTGTGCTTCTCCATAATGTTCAGCATTATATACATGCTTTTCATTGTATTTCTGTTATTTGAAAAGCAAAAAAATTGTTGCAAATTAAGGAGAAGAAACTGCATGATTGAATGTGTTCAAGAAGTAGGAATCTTGAAGGCTGTTCCTAATGTTATGACAAATGCCAGTGTGCGTTAAAAAAAAAAACAGGTGAAAGACTAGTACTGCATCAGGATTCTGTATAACAAATGATGTTTGGCAATATAAAGATGGTCCAGTGCATCAGTTAAGTTTCCATCAATCACCTTTGGTTGTTGGGGATTTATTTTTGGACACACTTCATCTATTTGAAGATTTAAGGAACCTGATAACTTTTGGAGGTTGGTGAAAGTGGAGTAAATTTTGAATTCTGGACTGCTAGGAACTATTCCAGTTTAGACATTGCTTTCCTTTCAAAACTTTCTATTTTGACAGTTTTCTGTTAAAAGTGTATCTGTTTTGCTACATTTATAGAAAATGAAATATTTGTCAGATCTAACCAAACCTTAATAGAAACATATGTGAAATGCAGCTTCAAGTTTTTATACTTTTTTAAAGAGACCAAATCAATTTTCTTTTCTGCCTTAGGATGCTGTGTCAAAGTACCAGGAAGTCAGTAATAATCTGGAATTTGCCAAGGAACTGCAGAGGAGTTTCATGGCTCTAAGTCAAGATGTAAGTAAAGAGTAGATGGTTCAGAATAGATTAGGTGTGGAAAAATTAAGATGTATGTCAGTAAATGTTTGTATGTACGTGTGTAATTTTATTATGTGAACTTTCTTGTGTTTATGAAATCTGAATACATCTTGTCCCAGATTCTTATGTATTATTAAATGTGCAAAATAGATTTTGATGGATGTGCAGGTTTCCACTTCAGTTTGGAGTGGTCTGTTCCTAACTGATACTTGCATATTGTGTTTGTTCTTTTTTATGCATGGAAAAAGACATTATATTGATCTGTGTGGAAGAAAATAGGACTGTTTTAATCTTTTCAAGGGGAAAGGTCAGGGACATGTATAGCAGAGAAGAAGAAAAGATTGTTGGTAGGATATTATGTGTTGTGGCATTGAAATGGTGTTTGTAGGGAAAATATAGGAAAGCTTGGGAGTGGAGTTATGTTGAAGTATTTCATGCTGGGAGGAAGGCATTGGGAAGATGAAGGTTAGGCAGGCTGTTCAAATATGCTTTGTTGGAAATTGTATAAGGAAGAGGGGTGCAATCCTTACCAAATTTAGCCATTTGGATTTCGTTTCATTTATTTATTTTTATTTATTTTCAGAATTTTTACCCCGCCCTTCTCCTTGCGGACTCAGGGCGGCTGACAGCCTGATAAAAACAACTACAGAGATGCCCCAAAAACTATCATTAAAACAAAGTTAAAATAAAATATTAAATATTTGGCCTTATTAATTATTAAAATAGCTTTTAAAACCCCTCTAAAAATTTCCCCTTAGGCCAGTCCTGCTTGTTGGAAGAGCCATGTCTTAAGGGCGCGGCGGAAGGAGGGCAGTTCGTTCCAGAGGGTGGGAGCTCCCACCGAGAAGGCCCTCCCCCTGGGAGTCGCCAGCCGGCACTGTCTGGCTGACGGCACCCTGAGGAGACCCACTCTGTGGGAGCGTACCGGCCGGTGGGAGGTAATCTGCGGCAGAAGGCGGTCTCGGAGATATCCAGGTCCGATGCCATGGAGCGCTTTGAAGGTGATAACCANTAAAATAAAATATTAAATATTTGGCCTTATTAATTATTAAAATAGCTTTTAAAACCCCTCTAAAAATTTCCCCTTAGGCCAGTCCTGCTTGTTGGAAGAGCCATGTCTTAAGGGCGCGGCGGAAGGAGGGGAGATCCGGGATCACCCGGATCTCTGGGGGCAGTTCGTTCCAGAGGGTGGGAGCTCCCACCGAGAAGGCTGTCCCCCTGGGAGTCGCCAGCCGGCACTGTCTGGCTGACGGCACCCTGAGGAGACCCACTCTGTGGGAGCGTACCGGCCGGTGGGAGGTAATCTGCGGCAGAAGGCGGTCTCGGAGATATCCAGGTCCGATGCCATGGAGCGCTTTGAAGGGGATAACCAACACCTTGAAGCGCACCCGGAAGGCCACCGGCAACCAGTGCAGCTCGCGCAGCAACGGTGTTACATGGGAGCGACGAGTCCCTCCCAACACCGCCCGCGCGGCCGCATTCTGGACCAGTTGGAGCCTCCGGGTGCTCCTCAAGGGAAGCCCCATGTAGAGAGCTGGAATAACCAAATTTTCTGAATTTTGGTTTTATTAAACTAGAATCTCTAGTTTAGAATCTCAGGAGCACAATTTTTGTCCTGGATTCAAAACAAAGCATTTATTCGGTTTAATGTTAAACATTTTCAAAAATAATTTTTGAATACTTCAGGCATGTTCTACATAGAAAATAACTATCTGTGAAACAATAACTTGATTTGAGCACCAAAAAAACAATGCTAAGTAAATTAGGAAATTGAGTAGGTGGAAAAATTGCTTCAGCCCTCAAATTCTGAAAGCATAAATATTTTTCTCTGTATAACTAATGTTTATAGTGATAATCAGCATTGGCATATGATGAGAGGAGATAGTATTCGAAAAGCATAATGAACATGAACAAAGATTGACTTTTCACAATTTCTCACATGCCCAGTAACACAAAATCACACAGATATAAACACCTATTATTTCAGGGTCTTTTTAATTTTAGATTTTGGGGAGAGTCAGGAATTTTTCATTTTATTAAAATGAGTAATAATCCCTGGTCCAGAGCACAAGTGATTGTACTACTTTGTGATTTTATTTAATCCAAGGACTTGTTTGTAGGAATTATGAAGAAAAGTCTTCTAAAGAGTTATTATACCATGAACAAATGTACTGTGGAGTTCATTATCTAGAGAAATGGTGAACTCTCTTTTGCGTGCATATGTTCAAGTAAGGGCAAAAACTTATCTAATGGGGATGGTTTAGTTTAGGTTATATGGCATTAAGATTTGTTGTTGACCTCTTTCAGTGTTTGACATTGAAATTTTAAAAAACTGATAATACATTAACTGTGGAAAGATCCCATTCCATATCTTTTCCTCCACCTAGCAATTCCCTATTTTGCCTTGTTCAGTGATCTAACCATAGAGAGAAATTTCTCAGAAACTGAAGGTGGCTGCTGGAGGACAAAGTACATTATGTGTAATTTCACAAATGCAATAGAAAATATAAAGTCAAGAATTCTAATTTCATTTATGATGTGAAGGAAGGTGAAAAAAGTAGTTGTTGATACAGGTGGAGTAGTGGAGAAAACTGCTACTGTCTTTTCCCAAAAGTAAGACCTACGTCTACCTTGATTTTTGGGAGTGGGCCTAATATAAGCCCTACCCCCAAAATAAGCCCTAGTTTGGGGGCAAGGTGCATGCCTAAAAATCAATCTAGGGTAGGGTGGGGGGGTGGAGCTGCCCCATGCGCCCTGCACCCGCTTACTGTTGCAGCCAGGCCTCGCATCAATCGGCACCTGCCTCAGCTCACTGACCCACTTCTTCGGCACCCCCCGGCCTGCATTTCACCATCAAAGGCCTTCTGGAAAGGCCTTTGCAGCCGAAAACTGAGCTACAGATTCAATCCGTAGCTTGGTTCTCGGCTACAGATACCTTTCTGGAAGGCCTCGGCGAAATGCAGGCCGGAGCTCCATTCTCAACTGCAGAGGCATTTCCTTCATCCACAGAAGAAATGGGCCAGCTGGGCGGAGCTGTCAGTGCTGCCGCCATGAGGTGAGACTGTGGAAAAGACCCCCCCCCCCCAAAATAAGACCTGGTGCCTCTTTTGGAGGCAAAAAAAAAAGACCAGGTCTTATTTTCAGGGAAACACAATAGTATTGAGAAGACTAATCACAGGTAGTTATGTCTTAAAGAGGGAGATCTTGGTTGTCACTTTTAAAGCTCTATATGACATTGAACCAATTTACTTATGAGACTTCCTATTCCCAGTGATTTCTGCCCATTCCTCTAGATATGGTAGATTGGGCATGCTCGGATTCCCAATGATGAAGAATTGTTACCGGGTGGATTCCAGGAAATGGGTCTTCTCTCCCTTGGGGCCTATCCTGTGGAACAGCCTCCTTCCCATTCCCCCACCCCAGATTTAGACAATCCTGTTCCTATTAGCTTTTCAGAAGATTGAAAATCTGGCTCTTTCCCCTGGCAGTGGGCCCAGGATATTGATGGATCTCTAGTGTGAGTGTGATTTGATACATCAATGTAATTTTTAGGTTCCTTGGTTCAATTTCTTTTGAAATGATTAGTTTGTGTTGAAATTGTCTAGCTTATGTTTTATTTTTGCTTGTCTACCAGAATTCCTTGTTTAGAACGAGTGGTTAAATATATTTGTTAAATAAACAAATCTAGTTAAATAGTATGGGGAGCAGGAAAATCTTTTTTTTTCCCCTAAATTTTTTATTGATTTTTCAATTGAAAACAATAACATAAATATGATGCCTTTAATTACAATATCAACCAAGAAATTAACACTATTCAATACATTCACGGAAGTGCCCGGTGTCCCCCCCTGCACCCCCCTCTTCACTTACCACACCTTCCTCCTCCCAATCCTACAACCTCTCCTCCTTCCTCCCTCTCTCCTACCTCCCTT